ATGTGCACCTACGAAAGGACTTATTGTTGCGTACTGAATGTAGCGATGGAGAATGCAAGCTGAGGCCAATGATGAGTTGGAAAAACTTCTAAACTCTCAACCAATGTCAACAGAGCCTGTATAAAGGAAATTTTCCAGTAATACTTTCAACCCTGTCCCTCTATTCTCTTTAATCTATATGTATGTATTTATATTGAGATTTGTGGAAGCTTGTGTTCTGCTAAATTCCTCTTATCATTGATAATTTAGTATATTTGGGATCATATTTTGGCACTGGTCTGCTCTTTTACTCAAATTCACTTGACAGTTCCTTTTTTTGTTTTTGGAAGAAAGCCAAGCAATTAAATTCTCATTTATTTCCAAAAAAACATGAAAATTCATTTTCACCAATTACTTGCAAGTTACCACTTAATAGAAACCATAGGCTAATAACCATAATTTTCAAATGTTTAGCAATGAGCAAAGAAAATATTTGTATTCTAATCTCATTTTCGAAAGCAATCACAAGAAACTATATTTAGAAGTGCTTACCTTGTGGAAAATTATAAGCTGCTCTCAGAATGCTCATCGATGTTTTTTATTTCCCTACGATATAATAAAAGCAGTTACATAAGTAACCATCATAAATATCTGTATTTCTTCTTTTTGTATTTCTGTTGAAGACAAGCCTAAAAATAACCGAAACTTCTGTTTTACGGGACATAATTCAGGAAGTAATCACCTTTCATCTTTTTATGTCATTTCACTATGTTTCCAACATATCCTTGTTTGTTAGGAGCATATGCTTTTTCTCAATTTTTTGGGGGATGCCCTTGACTTAAGCCATAGGGTTTTTACCAGTCCTAATTCTTCAGGTTATTATGAGATATTTGATATATGGATAAATAAAATACTATTGTTTCCATGACTCTATTTCCCTTGAAAACAGATAAAGGACGACTGAATCATCATAACAGTTCAATTGAATCTATGCAACTAAGCATGGACCAATGAAAGGAAAATTGAACCAGAGACTTCTTGACCATCATGAAGCCACTTGCAGATCCATGGAAAGGAATATCAAGTTCATATGCTTTTAAACTACTGAAGAAAGGCTGGGGCTTAAGAATTGTGCATAATCATGTTACTTACCTTCTCTTAATTTAGCATCAAATGATGATAAAATCATTATTCTTTTCTTTTTGCCATTCTTGGGCATTACATTTTTTACTGTTGTATAAAATACTACTATGTAAATTCAATAAGCATGTTGCAAATTGCCATTGACCACATGTAAGGCCATCTGAGTCTTTTTATTTCCCATGCTTTCTGCCTTTTGTAATGGGTGACATTGTGGCATTCCAACCATAGTATTATATTCTTATGTAGGGTTCTTAGAACACAGAAATACCAGAAACAACCACATTGTCACCTTATCTTTAATTTGATTTTGTTATGTCTACCTTCCAGAATCTAAGCATTAACTTCTCTAATCCAAGTGATCCTTTTTTTTGGTGAGCCCTGGGGTCGTCATGGGTTTGGTACCTAAGACCTCCTAAGGATGTGTGATAAAGCCTACCACTATGACTGTAGCAACAAAGGAATGTTCTCTAGGGTTTGCAAGATTCAATTTCCGAGAAGGAAAAATATATTGGCTCAAGTATTCTCTTTTGAGTGGTGTATGTTATATTATACACAATGTGCATATCCACCGACCATTCTGATGACTGACACCATTGTTCATATGACAGACATTTATACATGTATATGTTTTACCATAAGTGCCATAAATCATACACTATTGATTATATTAATGGGAAAAGTTATGATCCTTCTAATGGATGTAATGTTATATGCACCATGGCGAGTTCCACCATCTGTTTTTTATGATGGATGGTGACGATAACCACAGCTCCCAATGTCTGACATTTATCCATGTATGCTTAATCTCCACTGTTTATCATCATGTGTACCACACCCCATACACCAGTACCATATGGTATACCACAAACCCAGTTTGTTTTGGCACAAGCAGTAAATCCCAAGGCGAACTTTTTCTTTTTAAAAATATCTTTCTAAATAAAATCTCTCGTTTCCATCTCCACTCAAGGAACCCATGAAACAGACCTCTGATGAGATTCAACCTCTGCAATTTTTTATTATCATTTGGGTTGTGAGGCAATAGGGATGAAAGCCTGACTGTTAAGCAGTAAGGAATAGACCCCGAAAATGACTTGGTACCTGCATTGATTTTCGACAATTCTATCAGAAGGCGGATAATTTCAGGGAACTTGCTGGAGAACCCATTGCTGGGAACTTCGAGGTAGAAAGATTCCGAGCTTTTATGATTTCAGAGTTGATGGGACCTTTGAATGTGCTAGAGAAGTCGAGTAAAATCCAAACCCAAGGTAACCCAAAAAGAAGTTTACCAGCGAGAAGGATTATGGTGAGGAATTAGAGTTCCAAGGGATACTAAGAAGGTTTTTGATGGAGTAATGAGGGTTTCAGAGAATAATGAGGTGACTTTTAATGGAGTAATCTGGGTTTTAAAGGTGAAGAGACGGATGATTTCGACATTCAAGTTGGTTGAAGCTTGCCATGGTTTCCCAATTGTGTATAGAGATCAGAAGTTTCAAATTTGTTGGTTTCAGCTTATGGGGAGCTGAAATTGGTGAATTTTCCTTTGGGCCTTGGATTTCATCATGTCGGAGCAGAAATTTCGGTGACTTTTTAGTGCTTGTGAATTCAGATTTAGGTTGGTCGTTGCAAAATGGGTCCAAAAACTTGGGGTTTTCAAGTCAATGGTTGATTGAATTAAGGAGGAGACCACCCAAATTTGACAGAGGTTTCGCAATATACCTGGTCTTTGCTACATAAGCTGAATTTTGTTTCAAAGTTCATGGAGAAATGTTTTTATATTTGCTTGGTTATTCTTTTTGTTGATTTCTTCCCATTTTAGTTCATCAAATCTGCTTATGATCATTTCTATCAAACCCTGAAACTTCAAAAATGACGCCTCTCTCTTTCTCACAAAATATTCATCATAAACCAATCTGTCCTGCCAAAGCAAACAATTTAGAAATTGACATTCAAGGATTAAAGTCCAAGATCAATGGAGAACCTGATTATCAGGTATCCAGATAGTTGGATTTATCTGGTAATTGACATGCGAAGTCATTTTGAATGGTAATTCGCATGACTGAGAATGGATGGGTGTCCTGTTCTTGAGAGATGGAGAGAGTGGTTATTCGGTCCCGAGCAGAAGAGTGAGAAAGAAAACTGCTTTGTTTCCTTATTGGTGATAGAGAAGGGCAGAGAGAGACTTCTCTAAAATCATGAATAGAACAAGGAATTATACAGTCTCAAAGCTTAAGAAACAAGATGGCTCAACTGCCAATAACAAGAGAGAGAGACCTCAAAGCTTCAACTGCCAATAACAAGAGAGAGAGAGAGAGAGAGAGAAATGAGAGCTGAATGAATGAGAAGGCCTTCCTGGGTTTTGGTTGGGGTACAGATAAATTGTTCTTATTGGCACTGTGCAGCTCATCTAAAGCCCCTTACAGTACTTAAATTTTAGAAGAAACACATTCTTTCAAGGACCGGTTTCTACGTGACCAGGCCTATGTAGAAATGCGGGCCTCTTAATAAATCTATTTTTGAGATGGATTTTAAGACTTCATTTTTAAAGACATATAATCTCCAACATGGAGATCATGAATATGAAAAGACAAATAAATTTTTAAAACTAGAAATACTAACTCTGGTAAGAAAACATTTGGACTGTTAGTTTCCATTGTTTTTAGATGGAACACCTACTAGCATCCATATTGAAGATGGATGCTTTATAGTCCAAGTAAGTCATCTGATGGGTTTCCCCCAGTTCTTCCAAATATATCAGCACATAATTGGCTGAGATGATCGATTTAAAAGTTTTACAATATCATAAATGCAATTGTTTGTTGAATTTTAAGGTAAGGATTTATTTATTTAAATAAAGCTGCAGCCTCTCAAGACATTGTCCATTTTGAAATGGGTTTGTTATTTATTTGGAGTAAGATGTAAATTTCCCGAAATAATATTACATCAGTTACTTGGATGACCATGAATCTGGGACGCTTTCCCTTTGGGATGAGAAAGCATCTACCTTTTTCTTTTTCTTTTTTCTTTTTTCTTTTTTCTTTTTTGTCTTGGGCAATTCAGCACTAGGATTTGAACTTGCAACTTGTGATTCCACTTCACATTTTTATTATTTATTTATTTATTTTAATCTTGAACCATAGCCAAATAAGTCCAAGCTCATAAAAATCATGGGAATTGGACTTGTGGGTCTCACTTATTGTTTCTTTCATTCCAAACAAATAAGGAGGATAGCAAAATCATTATATAACCGTTGCATGAAATCATTGTCCATCAAGTTGGGTTTATGGGCATATATACCATACTCATACTCATACGGGAGTATGTACTGTGCATACACTCCCTCGCTCAAAATACTTATTTGGGTGGATTTTTTCTGAAATTTTAAAAACTACTTAAAAATCACTAGATGATTATTTTTATAAGTTAAAAAAATTAATTTTGAGTTTTTTGAAACTAAGATTTCGCCCTTTAACAAATTTTATGGTATTTGATCAATCTTGAGACATTTTTTTTCCCTAGCGCATAGTGAGTTCAATTTGAATTTTTTTATTGAGGTAACTTTATAGCTGAAAAAGTTACATCCTGAAAATTTAGATCCTAAAATTACTTGATATTGAATTTTACACGGGGGAGTAGATACCTAGCATAATCCCGTGGGGGAGTATCTTTTCGCTTTATTGTTATGCATCTTCTCTACATAGTGAAGACATAGAGACATTGATCCTCATGGAAAGCATTAATACAGCAAAACGTTGGTCCCGGCCTCTGATATTCAACAGCATGACACGTGTTTAAACCGGCCCCCCCAAAAAAAGAATATGTTCTAGAATTTAAATTTAGAGAGAGAAAGAGGGATCAGAGAATTTGAAATTGTGTTGCATTTGTTTCATGGAAGTTTTGACTTCGGAAGTTAAAACTCTGATCTCGCGGCTTCTTGGAAGCCACAAATTCCATTTCTAGTTTCTTCGCCTATTTTGGAACTTATTGATTATAAATGTGGGTGAAGAACTGGATTCAATCTACCCAATCGAGTCTCCTTGGGAGCTCGATTCTTGAAATCAAGACTTTCAAAAAACAAACACACCCTCAAAGAGAAAGAGGAGAGAGAGAGGAGCTTAATGAACGTGGCACTATCAAGGAGATGGACAGCGGAATCTTAACTGACCTCAATTAGTTAGAAAAAAGCTTTGACGGTGATAAAGACATCGAGAATCTCTCAAAATATTGAGTAGAGAAAAAGTGGGCCTCCTTTGGTTTTCTTATGCTCCGGGCCATCGAACATTTAAACTTTCGGCAACAAGAGGGCATGTGTCTTCAATCCAAAATCCATGGCATATTGTACTTTTTTAAGATGTGGTTTCTATAAGGCTGAGGCCCTAAACAATCAAAGTAAAGCTCAACTTCAAATAGTGCTAAAAGATATTGTTTTAGTATCATAAATTATTGTGATAGCCTGAAACTTATTTTTATCTCCAATTATAAAATTTAAACCTTAAAAAAAGGTATAGATCGAGCGGACCTATGAGCTTAGAAATCTTGAAAAGTGAAAGTCTAGATCCATACCTCTTGAGATAGAGATGATTGATTTGAACGTTTTTCGGTATCAAAACATCATTTAGTGAATTTTTGAAGTACAGTTTAATTTAATTGTTTAAGGCTTCAGTATTATATAAACGTTTTTCCCTTTTTTAAATGATCAATGGCTTGACTTTTCATGAGTTAAGTAAGAAACAAGAAAAGCCTATACTTTCGTATGTTAGTCAAAATCACTAAAATAATACATAGGGAAAATGATCAATATCTTCGCATACCTAGTTACCACGTTGTAGTATCACTAAACAGGGGAGCTGGTTCGTGGTGATAGCACCCCATATCTAGTTCCACGTTGTGGTTTTAATCCTACTCATACCACTTGCTTATATCTTAAAAAAAAAAAAAAATCCTCAATTTATATGAAAAACCATAGAAGGGGCCAGTCTTCCTTATTGAATTATCCAAAATAAAAAAATGAGAAAAATGTAAATAATATGGTTCCATTCAAATGCCACTCTCTTATGGAATATTTATCTTAAAAATGCATCGTCGACTCAAATACATTTTAAGTCATATGAGATGCGTTTTTGCTTTATATCCATGATTACACGTTTCAAATAATAAAGCGATTTAATGATATGTGAAAAATAAAATGAATAATGGATAATAGATACAGGATTCATGGAGAGTTTTAGTAAAATTTTGTGTTGGTCGCCTACTTAATACAACCTACCTCATTTATCTGGGCTTGAGACGGGTTAAGGGAAAATTTAAGGTCCTCACCTTTCTTAGACCAATGAATAGTCTACAAATAAATTCTATTTTTTTTTTTTTCTAAAGTTCAAATTTTGTATTTTTTTTCATATTCATAATAGTAGCAATATTGATTATCTACCTCTAAAATTATAGATCCAAAATGTACTTCTAAGATGCATTTTGATTGAGACATTAACTACCAAATCCCCATCCAAATAAAAAGGGAGACACAATTTTTAAAATCTCAATATCAACCCTACTTGTTAAAACCTAATTTCATGGAATTCTATTTCCTGCTTTGACTCCTAGTTCGACCTTAGATGTGTTTTTTCCCCCCTATTATTATATTTTTTCTTCTTAGCCCTCAAGTGGGACATAGAGTGTTGCAATGTCTACGGCTTAAACCTAACCAAGAACAATTTTGAAGTACCCATTTCACCTCATAAGCAAAAAGCTAGAAAACATCTGCATAATGAATATTGTTGTGTTTTTTGTAAAGAAAAATAAATTTTTAATGAGGGTAGTGTTGTTGATAGAGCAGAATGACAGAACAAGATTCATATAACCGATCTCAAATAGTTGGGATAATACTTGGATGATAATGATGCTTAGTAAAGAAAAATAAAATAAATAAATTCCTACCTTTGAACCGGCAAAAAAAAAAAAACTACTTTCTTACAATTTATTAATATAAGAAACGTTTGAGCTAGCTTTGGCCCTAGTATAGTACTCCACCTCATTTTTGTTGAACACTTAGAACATTGTTCCACCGTTTTGAACTAACAAGGGTGGACAACCAAAAACATGGTGTGGTCGTAGTCCAAGATGACCACCCTAGCAAATGGTCTCGTGCTCAAACTAAAAAAAAATATTTACATAGAAGAAAAAAACTTATTAAAATATTACAAATTTGTCAATAATACCAAAAAGGATGTTGCTGTTGTTTCGTTTAAGGATCACCGAAGTAATATCTAAACCTAATGATTCAAAGATATGGGATATCATAACAAGGAAATGCCAATATAAGGTCGTAACTTTAAAATGTAGAATTAAAGGTGCGCCTAAAAAATCCATCATAAAAAGTTGTTTGGATGTTGGAAAACTATGTAATTGATCATCTCGATATCGAGATGTATGAATATGAAAATAAAAAGAGACTTCAAGTTCGCGAAATAGTATATCTTGCAACACATTATGTGGACCATTCATTTTCAAGGTTTTCACTTGTTTATAGATCTATTTGATTTGAACTATTTTTAGAATTTAAAATTTTATAATTAAAAATAAAAATAGATTATCAAACCATCCTAAAAAAATTTTATATCAAAATTATATTTAAAATTTTAGAGGTGCGCCTTAATTGGATTGTTTAAGAAAACCACACCCCCTTTAAACATTGTACTTATTTTCAACTATTCCAACTCCGTGTAATTTGATGGAATTTTTAAAATTAAATAAAAAATATATATTTAAAGGGTAATTCATTTCTTTAGTGTATTTCAATAAATTTCTTTTTAAAATTTGTTTAATTAGATTTTAAGCTCTCAAATCCTAACTGACCTTCCAACAAGGGTTGAAATTGAGGGAGCATTTGTTTAGATTATTTTACGAGTTCTAAACATTTTTTTTCCTCTTTTTTTGAATAGTTTAGTGGTAGGAATCAAACTTGAGATATAACATTGGGTTTTTTCTCTTTTTTTTTTTTTTTGAGTAATCCAACCGTAAGAATTGAACTCGAGACATTTTTTTTTGAGTAATCCAGCCATAAGAATTGAACTCGAGACATGGCATTAGTAACGTCAACTATCGACCACTCTTGCTCAAATCCGGTTCTTGAATTTTCTTTTTCTTACTAAAATTGGTGTAGGGATAGCTAATGATGATTAGGAAGTGAAAATTTAGATAAAAATATGGGTGGCAATGGACCAAGACCTGAACCCACACGGGACTCAAGGGGTAGACCCAATCGGGATATTGGACCTAAACACTATTTGGATCAGTGTTTAGGCCCGATCGGGTTCAACCCTAAGTCCTATAATATTTTTTTGGTGAAATATATTTCAATATAATTAAATAAATAGACATTTTAATTTTTGGATTGGGTCTGATCAGGTCCAGGTCTCGATTTGACACACCATTTTCAGGTGAATTGGGTCGGGGTAGGGCCCGTTGCCACCCCTAATTATTCGTCATTAATTTTCATAAAAACCTCCTATATTTTTGCTCCGATCGAATGCGCGTTAAACGTGGTCCCCCCAGGACCAGTAAATATTGTTTAGACAATTTCTGTTCTTTTCAGTTTGGTGGCAACTAAGCTCAAAAAATTTGTGTTGCACCCAACGCTTTGAGATATGTATTATTAACCGTGGTCGCTCTGGACCACAACATATTGTTCAGACTTCAGACAATTTCTCCGCTTTTTCTGGTTTGTGGCAATTAAGCTCAAAAAATTTGCAATGCACTCAATGCTTCGACAGTCCATAAGTTACGGGGCCCTCAGCTGTTCCTGTCACGTCATCTCCACGCTTTCGTATATAAATCGCTCAAACTCTTTTCCCCTCCCCCTATTCGAGCGCTCTCTCCCTCTCTCTGTATGCCCTCAAATTCCTCTATCCGAGAAAACATCGGATCCCTGTCTTTCTCTCTACTCTGTTGACTCATTTTGATTCTCTCTCTTTCTCTCTCTAGAAATGGGGAAGAACATTCTGGTGACTGGTGGAGCTGGTTACATCGGTAGCCACACGGTCCTGCAACTACTGCTTGGAGGATTCAATGTTGTGGTGGTCGATAATCTCGACAATTCTTCGGAGATTGCCATTAAAAGAGTCACTGAGCTTGCTGGAGAATCTGGAAAAAACCTTGTTTTTCACGAGGTAAGGTTGGGATTCATCGATCAAAAGATCAATTGTGGTTGGATCTTTGTTTGCATCATTGATTTTGGCTAATCAGTACTGTGATTTTTGTGATCTGCTTGATTTGTACTTTATCAATGCCTAGAGCATTTCTTTAGTGGATTTAATTCTGTCCTTCAATGCAATTTTTGATAATTTACAGAGAAATCTTAAGTTTTGGTTTGTTAGTGCTGGTTTTATGATTCATCCCGGTTGCTGTGATTCTTTCCATTTATAAAATCCTGAACAAAAATCAGGGCTTTTAGAACTGTTTCTATTTTTAATACGACATTTCTTATCCTTCCCTGAGTAAGTCGATTATTAGGCTTCTAAAGATCGTTTTTTTTTTTGTCTTAATTTTTTTTTATTTGGAATTTAAATCTACTCTTTACTTTTTTACTAAATTCATCATTTAATGTGTAGAACCTAGATCTGTTATTGTCGGTCTATAATGATCATGTTTTTATGAGATCTTTGATGAAGTAAAACCTTTGTTTAGTTTTCATATGTTTGTATTCAGTAATGTCATATTGGTGATCTAGGAATATATTTTAATTGCACATTTTCATTAAAAAAAGTATCTTATTTATTTATTTATTTATTTTTGCAGCTCAGACTTTACCATCTTCACAAAAAAAATCATTTTCTCAAGAGATATGTGATTTTCAATTGCATGTATCGATCAATGTAATGATTTGAACATGGAGGTTTGCACATTTTTAAACTGCTTTATCTGTCTATTACTCAGGATTTGTACAGGCAGATCTTTGTTCCCATGCATTTTTAGTCAGGATATCCTTTTACGATCATATATTCTCTCTTTTGTCACTATTTTTATCTTTATTGGTATTTTTGTCACTGTTTTACTAGTCTTTTTACTAAGATAGCCTTGTTTCATGTGTATGCTTTATGGACTGGAAAGAAGATTAAAAAACTATGGAAAAGTTGAAAAGGTATGTTAATTCAGAGGTAATTTTTCATCAATGACATGGTGGGGTTCGTGGTCAATCATTGATAATTGGTATTTTCATTTTTGGTAAGAAATTAGTGCTTTATGAAATTTCTACACAAAGGAATATGGTAAGGGGATAAAATGAAGCACTTTTAATATTTTTTTGGAATTAGTTGAATACTTTTGTAATGTTCTGAGGAGCATTTCTGTTATATAACTTTCAATAAATATATCTTCTAAAATTTTCTCGTTATATAGATTTCCACTTGGTAAACTCAGTGGCATAAATTCTGATTATAGTTGAAAGTCTCGAAGTACAACTGCAGACGGCTGATTCTTTTATATCAAATGGAACGTTTTCTGATAATTTTTGGAATTGGTATTTATATGCATGCAAGCATGCATAATGCATATATACAGATATGTACAATTAAAAAAAGCAGAAAAGAAAGAAAAAAAACATTGAGGTGTGTTTGTGTGGGTTTAGCTTTGAATTTCGTATATATGCGTAGACTTGCAGTTTAGATTTTACTACTAGAAATGATGATTTATTCAGATGTTTATTTTATTACTTTCATTCATAATGTTCCGTTCCGCATGGATGATGATTCATGATAGAGGGAATGATTCAAAGATGCTACGGGACTATGATTATCTACTAATTCAGTCTTGTGATAGGGAGGGGCATCATTAATTTATGACTACAAAAAATGTTATACAATTTCACTCATACTTGAATCCTAGCGTTGAAGCATACTGCTTTGATTTCTCTTTTGTTTATTTGTTCCTTCCTGTGATATTGTCTTGAGATTTGTGGCATATTTTACAATGCTGAAGTTTCTATTTTCTTGTACAGGTTGACCTGCGAGATAAGGTGGCCTTGGAGAAAATCTTTTCTTCTTCGAGGTAATCTTTCACTATTTTTTTTTAAGAACATAATTAATGCTAAGTACATCTGATGAATATTCCTGTGGACTTTCTTTTTACCAACTTAGTTAATACTAAATACATCTGATAAATATTCTAAGTGGCTCTAGTTTTCCATAAATTTTGGTCTATTGAGCATCAGCATTAACTTTAGTCTAATTTTTCAGTTTGGTTTTGGCTGATAGGCTTTTTTATTCTCTCTTAGTTAAAGTTAGATGCATTTGATTAATATACTTAATGGCTTCGAATTTGCATTAGTTTTAGTGTAATGAGCATCAGCATAGCCATTTGTTGCACTTTCCAATGAATGCACTGTTTCAATGTATTCTCTTAGTTTCAATAGATTTTCTTGGACTTCGTCATCACTTACTAAAAAAATAGATTTTCTTGGACTTTGATGAGATGGATTTGCAGATAGAACAATAAGGGGTGATTTCTATACTAATAGGTGGACACGATAGGCAAAATTTCATCAGATTTAAATAATTGATGTATTTGTTTGTTCAGTTAGTTTCTCTCAGCAAATTCATAATTTGTTTGTTATTGATTGGTTGGTTAACATACTTTGGGATTGCAATGATGCATCTATGTTATATTATCACCTAAGTCGCTTTCCCTTGTAGACTACTAGATTTGTAATTTTCCGTCATTTTATTTCTTGCTGCAGTTTTGATGCTGTCATTCACTTTGCTGGATTGAAAGCAGTGGGTGAAAGTGTACAGAAGCCATTGCTTTACTATAACAACAATCTAATTGGAACTATTAATCTCTTAGAAGTGATGGGTGCACATGGTTGCAAAAAGGTAAGTCTAAGATCTTGCAAACCATATAGAAATTGATCTTCTTTGTCTATTTATATGCAAAAACTGGCTATATGGTGGACTGCATCATAGAGAAATTGCTTGACTTCATCTCCTTTACCGTGTGCAAGATGCTTACATTTCCAGTTCCATAGTAGTGATTTCTTTCCTTAGACGAGAAGGAATAATAGAGTTAGTAATAAATAACTTTAAGATGACTTTGTTCACTACTTCGTACTCTGGAATGGCGATGAAACAGCACGATTTCTAGGTAAACACCTATTTATCTGACATTTTTGGAGAATTTTGAAGTCAGGTAATGCAATTTTTTGTGTTAGTTACAGTCGTTTGAAATTATTCTGTGACAACATGATGCAGATCTAATTATGTGGCAATAGTTCCATGTTCAATAGCTGTATATTTTGCCGCCTGTGGATCTCGTATACATCATGGTGTTCAAAATTAGGCCCCTGCAAACTGCAACAGAAGCCTTGCAATGCAATTTTGGAAGCTTAAGTTCACTGTCATTTTAATTGCTACAATTGGTCCCATGCCGAATTCAGGCAATCTTATTTAATGAAGCCAGTTGTTATATTCGCGTTTGATCTTAGAAGCAAACACCTCCATACTAGGGAGACAGATGATCATGCACCAAGCTTTGCTGTTTACATACTGGAGCATGAAGGAATCATGGTTTGGTCATGGTTGAATTTTTTTTGGTCTTCTTATATGCATTAGATTGTGATAGTGTATAACTTCTTTGCATGAGATCAATGCACAAGATAGATGTATGCACACAGAAGCACATATGCTCTATACATATTTGAAACTTTAAAAGCTATTGCCATTTTGTGTTCCACATTTGCATGCCCTGTTCCCTCAATACTATTTGTTGAGCTGTATTTTAACCCATTACCATATGAAGTAATGTGAACTCTGTAGCAATCACGCCCAAACGTCTGCAAGGAGTCTCAACTGTTTCTTCACCGGGGTTTCACCTTTTCTTATTTAAGATATGAAATTTTTGTTTGAAATTGGAGTTGAGTGGGAACAAAAACCTGGGGATCCTTTTCGAAGTGATAGTTTTGAAATATTTAGAGGTCTTTGTCCTGAAATACAATTTACTTTTCATATGCTTGCTGAATATAGTTTGATGGTTAGATATTTTAGGATCTAAGTTTTCCTTCCACTCATTTGTTTAACAATTGATATTTTCTATCATGCCATGAAATAGCCATTTGTTAAACAGTTGATCTTTTCTATCATGCCATGAAATAGGGTTTAATAGAAACTATTCTGTGTATTTTAATCTATTGAACAATAAATTTCCAAACAACCTCAATGGACTCTTCAAAGTGTATACTGTTTGAATGCCATGGCCAAGAGTGAGCTTCTAGTATATGTTAGTGGTTTTAATGGCAGTAGATATGGCCAGTCGTCTTTTAGTGGCAGTTAGGCATAGCGATTATCAGATCACAGTTTTTTGCAGCTCACATTCTACTAAATTATTCTAACTAAACTTTCTAGTAAATTTTCATTTTCCCTTTTTCAATGATTTACTTATATGGTTGATTCAAGAAATTGTACAATTTATGACATGGATATAGCTAAAATGATGGTGATAGAATCCCAAGTTTAACCTTGTTTGGAGAAATTGGACTTGGCCAACAAGACAGGCATAAATAAGTTAGAATGGATGAATTCCAAGCTCATTCCCACCAAGCAACTTGGGGTGCCCTTGCATACGTGCATCTAAATTCGTTTATTTGGTTACTTGTTAGAAACGAGCAGAAAAAGCTATAGACATATGGAAACTCCCCTAGATCATGATCATCCTTGATAGAGTCCTGATTATGTATATTTGGCAGATAAAACTGACACGCAGGATGCATACACTGCATTTGAAATCTGTGCCCCTCAATCTGAACCTCAAGTGGATATTAATTATCAATGGATATTCATTGGATTCACACTCAGAGATTTAGAGAATCGTAAAGGAATAGTTCTTTTCGTCTTCTAACCTTCATAGAAGAATATTGCTAGTTTTATATATTTATTTATTATTTTGTTCAAGCTTCCGAACTCTCAATACATTCTTTTATGATAACTCTGGTGGAAAGGGAGCTTGTCGACCAAAGGGATTCAACTGGATGTGCATGTGAAGTTAAAAGCTATTCAGTTGTTTAAATTCTGATGTTACAATGTATTGGTGCAAATTGCTTAATCTTGATGGCCTCAATTCTGTTATAAAGCTGGTGACCTAGACATATATTCCCTATTGGCTCTTCTGTGGCATGTTTTGATATTTTTATCTTGGAATTCCTTTCCCCTCTGGCAAAACTTCGAACTTTCCATGGACATACCATCTGCAGTTGATTACAAAGATCTTTATTGATTACAAACTATATTATCGCATTCCTCTAGCATTTTCGAACATTGATACATGCTGATTTTAAAAAAAATCATACAGCTGGTGTTTTCATCATCTGCTACGGTTTATGGATGGCCAAAGGAGGTTCCCTGCACCGAGGAGTTCCCACTATGTGCCACGAACCCGTATGGGCGAACTAAGGTATGGGCGAACTAAGGTGTGTCTGCTTATGGATTGCTTATATTCTATATCTCTACCTTTTGCTATGTATTCTGATATTGAGTTTTAGGGTGCTAAACTAATTTGTTGTCCATTCCGTTTATTTTTATAGCTTTTTATTGAAGAGATCTGCCGAGATATCTATCGTTCAGATTCAGAATGGAAGATTATATTGCTTAGATACTTTAATCCAGTGGGTGCTCATCCTAGTGGCTATATTGGAGAGGATCCTCGTGGAATCCCGAACAATCTCATGCCCTTTGTTCAACAAGTTGCTGTAGGCCGGAGACCAGCATTAACAGTATATGGCAATGATTATTCGACAAAGGATGGCACGGGGGTACACTCTCTCCCATTCATTCTGGAGATATAAACTATTTGTTGATTTGTTCTGTATAATTGACTGAACGTTAGATAATGCATCGGGTGTGGTTGTGGATTAAGTTGTTTTCTGTGTAAATCTGGCATTGATATCTGGAAAAGTTACCTTTAGTTGTGAATCCAATAAGCCTACTATTTGTTTTTTTCTGGATAAGAAATAAGCCTGCTACGTTGTTGCCATACTTTCTACATTTGCACATGTATGGATTGTGCCATACAATTTAATCTTCTTAATTGGTTTTCTTTGAGTCATTTATGCCATGCTGAGTTTTCTACTGCAGTGTGAGAAGTTTCTCTGGTTGGTTAATGGGGAATGCCCTAATTTCTCTTAAAATTTTGTTCATTAGATTAGAAAGTAAAAATCTTTTCATGAGTTATTCCATTCCGCAGTATTTTCTTTAGATGTTTACAAGTGATGCTCCTGTTTTATGTTTCTCAGGTCAGGGATTATATTCATGTTGTGGACTTGTCAGATGGACACATTGCTGCCGTACAGAAGCTTGATGACCCTAGTATAGGTATGGAAGCTGCTAAAGTTTCATGATTTATTGTATTCATCTCACCCAATTGCATAATGTGTTAGATTGAGCTGATTCTCGCAATTTTGTGTGAGTTTGGAAGATGAACTTAGGGAAATGTATTGTGTTCAAGGCTTCAACAGTTTTTTAGAATTACCTGAACCATCTGTTTGCGACATCTGATGGCTGGGGTAATCCTCGAAAAGTGTAGGAAACAAAAGTGTTTGCATAGTACATAATTATGGGATCAAAATGTATGTTATAAAATAATTTTTTATACTTGTAAAAGATAGTGGAAACATACTTATTGTCCATATGATAATTGTAAACGTATGATTATAAGGGTATTATTGTCTGGTCAATGGTTCGGTCAGCAATGGGGAGTGCTTGTCTTGTTGAATTCGTGACATTTTTGGTGGGACCCACTCTCCCCCCACGTTGCAACCTAGTGATGGGAATGGCTGTTACGACCATATTATTACATGATCATATGGATCATAGTGTACTTTCCAAAGAAATAAACTGGAGCAAACTCAGTCACTTTTTAAGATAAACTTCCCAGGTTTCAGTGTTTCCACCCATGTTCGGGTGGTTCATGCGAAAGAAGTGGGTGGAATTAAAAAAGTGAGTGGCCAAATGTGCTCCTGTAGCAGAAATATGGAGGTTGTACCAGCCAAAAATAGGGTCTGGATAACTTTTTATGTGCGGAATGTCTGATTAATGAAATTGCATGGACAGGTGTTCTAGACTCTATAAATTTGGTAAAGAATCATGTAGTTTTGTGCACTCACTAAGACAACTTTGACAGTTTCATCGTGGGGCAAGGTTTTTATGAGTCCACTGCCTCATCTGTTTAAATGACTCCTATCTCCAAAAATGGATTTTGGATTTAAAATTTTAAAGATTTGAGAATCTAGACCATGATAAGCATGAATCTGAAAAAAGAAGAAAAACTAAAAAAAAAAAAACAGAGAAGAGTTTTTAATCTAACGTAACACTCTTAGTTTTAAGTTTTGGTGGGACTAATGTTCTATAATATCCATCTACAAGATGGATGTTTAGCGTGTCAGGGAACACTATTGTGGAAGTTCGTCCCATGATGCACAGAATTACTTTTCCTTAATCATGCCTACTTTCTATGCGTAAAGAGCAAGAGTGAGAGGCCCGAGTCTCCATTGCATGGGTGAGAGAAGTCTGAGCATATGATTGAACTTATTTTTGACCTACAGGTTGTGAAGTATATAACCTAGGAACTGGAAAAGGAACCTCCGTCTTGGAAATGGTAGCAGCATTTGAGAAGGCCTCTGGAAAGGTATTCTACCTCTGGTCACTGCTTAAGTTATATATGAATTTCAAAATATCAGTTCTTGGAGAGAATTAGGTGCTCCAATTCCTTCTCTAGTTTTTCAAGGAATATGGCTTCCCAGAATCTCTCTCCTAGAATGAGTGACCACATTCTCTCTTGTTTTCGAAGAGAAGAAATACCCAGATTCTCTCTCTGGTTTTAGGCCTAACTAATGTTTGATTGGTTTTAGAAACTTCCTCTGGTTATGGCTGCTCGCCGTCCTGGGGATGCCGAAATAGTCTACGCATCCACTGACAAAGCGGCACGCGCATTGAACTGGACGTGAGCTCAATTATCAATTATTGTTTTTTCCTTGTTCTTTTTTTATTGAATTTCTTTTGCTCAACTGGATATGTTCTATATATGGAATTTCTACTGTTAAAAATGGTGCCAATTGGGTTTTGCAGAGCTAAATATGGGATAGACGAAATGTGCCGGGACCAATGGAACTGGGCGAGCAAGAACCCATGGGGCTATGGGTCACCTGACACGAACAACTGAAAAAGTTCGAGGTATAGCTCTAAAGTAAATTATACTATACACCAATGTTGTATGGTTTATAGTTTATTGTACATCTCAAGCGCCCTTTTTTTTGGCTGGGTAGATCAGTGGGGATTACAGGCCCCAATCTGTTTTGGAAATAGTCAGTTTTTGAAATCGTTAGTGAGAACGGAGGCCGTGACTTTTAACTAGGGCACGGTGCCACCACCATGATCCCAGCTCCTTTCTCAAAACAAGGGCGTTCCATTCACCCAGATGGGTGCCCCATTGGGCTCCGTTAGGGTTGATCTCCACGCTCCGTATCGAGAACAGATGGCGGGCCCCTTTAGTATACCACATACCCTCTCTTTAAAAGAGATTCTCTATATCTTAGTTACTGAGATTGGCATCGTTTCAGGAACAAATTTGTGTTACCAGTTCAAACCAGGTTGATCGATCAAAAAGTAAAAGGATTTTTAAGTCATTGTGATAAATCATGTCTCTGGCTTGTTGTGCAAGATTTTCAAGAGTGTTTTCTTTTGGAAAGCTATACGACTACCTTGGGAAATGTTTTGAAAACCTAATATTACAAATTAGGAAAGAGGTGGAAATTTTAGAAACGTTAAAAAAACATAAAAATAATTATGTTGTCCTCTACCTTAAAATTTGAGTCTGTATAAAGGAACTTAAAATAATTGAATAGTGGCCGAAGAAAAACGTTCTCTGATGCCAAAGAACATATCTCTTTTCATTTCAAACTCTCATGATCTTTTGAAGATTCAAAAGATCATGAAGATATATATCACGATCTTTAAATTGGTATTGTATTGCTAGTTATCAAAATGAAAAGAATGGGTAAAAACTGATATTGAACCTATGTTTCAGGCTGTTGCTCTAGAGAGGTGAGATTTATTTCTGCGACTGTCGCATTATCAGGCGATCTGATATGCCTCATTCTACAGCTGTAATTCTTAATAAATATTATCC